AAAATGCCCCATCATTTGGGATCAGTGGGAAAGGGAAAAAGTTCCCCCTCTTGGAAAGGAGGGAGGAGAATACTGCCCCATCGTTTTGTGGTGTCAGTTGGGGGGGAGGAAAAAAAAAGATGTACTGCCCCAGTCGTTGGTGTGGTCTGTGGGCGGTGAGGAGGTGGGGGGAGGAATAGGAAGGGGGAGGAATTACTTGCCCCATCGTTGGGTGTGTAACCCTGGTCTGTGGCGGGGGGGTGAGAGAGGAATTGTGCCCCAACATTATTAGTCAGTGGTAGGATTACTGCCCCCATCGTTGGTGTCAGTGGGGGGCAGGATAAAAATACTGCCCATCGTGTTTGGTTGTGTACAGTGGGGGGAGGAATACTGCCCCATCGTTGGTGTTAGTGGGGGGGGAGAAGAGGGAAATACTGCCCCACTCCGTTCCGGTGGTCGTGGGGGGGGGAGGAAAAAGGAATAAACTGCCCAATCGATCGGGCGTGTCAGTGGGGGGAGGAATACTGCCCATCGTTTCCTGGTTGTCAGTGGGTGGAAAAAATAGTTTGCCCCATGTTGGGTTGTCCAGGTGGGGAGGAAAAGTGGCCCCCTCATTGGTGTAAATGGGAGGAAAAAGTGCCCCTTTATTTGGGATGGGGGGGGGGAATAGTGCCTGTCATTTTGGGGTCAGTGGGAGGATTGGCCCCATCATTAGTATCCGCGGGAGGAATGTGCCCCCTCATTGGTGTCTTTGGGAAAGGGAAAAAAATGCCCCGTCATGGTGTCAGTGGGAGGGAAAAAGTGCCCAAAAATTGGTATCGGGGAGGATAGTGCCCATCAAATTTGGTTTTCAGTGGGAGGAATTGTGCCCCTTCCCTTGGGGTGGGTGGGGGGGGGGGAATAGTGCTCCATATTTGGGATCAGGAGGGGGAATAGTGCCCCTTTATTTTGTATCAGCGGGGAGGATTTTTTTCCCCCCTCATTGGTTTTAAATGGAAAGGGAAAAGTGCCCCCCTCATTGGGGGTTTTGTGGGAGGAAAGGGGCCCCCTCATTGGTATCGTAGGAGGAAAAAGTGCCCACATTTAGTTCGGGGGAGGAAAAGTGCCCCATCATTGGTGTCAGTGGAAGGAATAGTGCCCCGTCATTGGTGTCGTGGGGGGAAATTGTTGGCCCCTTTTAATTTTATCAGTGGGGGGAAATGTGCCCCCTTTATTGGTGTCGTGGGAGGAAAAAGTGCCCCATCATTGGATGAGTGGGAGGGTTAGTGCCCCCATAAATTTGGGATGGTGGGGGAAAAAGTGCCCCTTTATTGGTATGGTGGGGGAAAAAAATGCCCCGTCCCTTGGGTTTTCAGTGGGGGGGAATAGTGCCCCTTATTTTGGGGGCAGTGGGGAATATTTTCCCTTTATTGGTGTTTAGTGGGGGGGAATTTGTGGCCCAATCATTTGGGTTTCAGTGGGGGGAATAGTTCCCCAAATTTATTGGTTTTCAAGGGGGGAATAGTGCCCCCCTCATTAGTTCAGTGGGAGGGGAAAAAGTGGGCCCCCCCCTGGTGTCAGTGGAAGGAAAAGTGGGCCCCCTCATTTTGGTTTATCAGTGGGGAGGGAGTAGGTTCTTGTTTTTTGGAATTGCTTTTCATTAGTTACCTAGTGCCCATCGTTGGTGGTCAGTGGGGGAGTAGGTGCTCCATCAGTGGTGTCAGGGGTGGGAGAGTCTGTATTGCCCCATCATGCGTGTCAGTGGGGTGGAGATAGTTGCCCCATCACTCGGTTATGTGTCAGTGCGGTGAGGGAGTAGTTGCCCACAATCACTGGATTGCTCAGTGGGGGGAGTAGTGCCCCCCATCACTGTTTGTCAGTGGAGGTAATAGTGCCAACATTCATTCGGTGTCAGTGGGCAGGAGTTCGGTTGCTCCAGTCATTCGATGTTGTCAGCTGGGAGGGAGTGAGTGCCCATCACTTGGTTCAGTTTGGTTGAGGCTTATGCGGGGGGATCGTTGGCATATTAGTGGGAGGAATAGTGCCCGATCATTGGTGTCTAGTGGGAGGAGTGGTGCCCCGATCATTGGTGTCGAGTGGGAGATGAATAGTGCCCCATCACTGGGTATGACAGTGGGATGAAGTAGTGCCCCATCACTGCGCTCAGTGTGTCAGCTGGGAGGACAGGAGTTCTTGGACAGTGCCCCATCATTGGTTATCAGTGGAGGAATAGTGCCCCATCATTGGTGTGTCAGTGCGGAGGGAGGTGAATAGTGTCCCATCATTGGTGGTCAGTGGGAGGAATTAGTGCCCCCATCATTGGTGTCAGTGTGGTGGAAGGAATAGTGCCCCATCGTTGGTGTCAGGTGGGAGGAAATAGTGCCCCATCATTGGTGTCAGTGCAGGGGGAGAATATGTGCCCCATCATTGGTGTCAGTGGGAGGAATAGTGCCCCATCATTGGTGTCAGTGGGAAGGAATAGTGACCCCATCATTGGTGTCAGTGGGAGGAATAGTGCATCCCCATCATTGGTGTCAGTGGGAGGAATAGTGCCCCATCATATTCTGTTGGTGTCAGGTTGGGGGAATAGTGCCCCATCATTTGGTGTCAGGTGGGAGGAATAGTGCCTCCATCGTTGGCTATGTAGTGGTGGGAGGAATAGTGCCCCATCGTTGGTGTCAGTCTTTGGGGGAGGAATAGTGCCCCATCGTTGGTGTCTGTGGTGGGAGGAATAGTGCCCCATCCTTGGTGTCGGGTGGGAGGAATAGTGCCCCATCATTGGTGTCAGTGGGGAGGAATAGTGCCCCCATCATTGGTGTCAGTGGGGGGAGAATAGTGCCCCATCATTGATGTCAGATGTGGTGGTGGGGGGAATAGTGCCCCATCATTGGTGTCAGTGGGTGGTGGGAATAGTTGGCCCATCGTTGGAGGGTCAGTGGGGGGGGGGATAGTGCCCCATCGTTTGGTGTAGTGGGGGGGGGGAATAGTGCCCCATCGTTGGTGTCAGTGGGGGGAGAATAGTGCCCCACCCATCGTTGGTGGTCAGTGGGGGGGGAAGTCAATAGTGGCCCCATCGTTGGTGTCAGTGGGGGAGGAATAGTGCCCCATCGTTGGTGTCAGTGCGGGGAGGAATAGTGCCCCATCGTTGGTGTCAGTCAGTGGGAGGAATAGTGCCCCATCGTTGGTATCTAGTGACACAAATGATGGGGCACTCTCCTCCCACTGACACCAATGATACGTCCTTGCTGATCCTGCTCCAGCCTGGGCTCGCTACTCTCTCACGTTACCTGTCAGCTGTCTTCCTTCTCTGGCCTCTCTCATTCACTCGCTCTGCAGATCGCCCTCGATCTTCTTTGATCTATACCGCAGCGCTGGCGCTCGGCTCCTCCTCTCCAAGCTCCACCTCCTCGCCGGTGTGATGGACCGCCTGTGTGCCTCTCCTGAGCTACAGTTCCGGTGGCCAATCAGCGGCGAGGAGGCGGAGCTGTTGAGTGATCCCGGAGGTGTGGCCATGTGACAGGGGCAGCATATCATCCCGCCCACAGATTCGCCTGAGACAGGAGCGGTGTCTCGGTTCCTAAGACCATCGGAAATATTGTGTTTTCCCGATGGTCTTAGGCGACCCCTGTGAAATGGTCGTTCGACCCCCCCAAAGGGGTTGTCGCGACCCCCAGGTTGAGAACCGTCTGCTCTAAACAAACAGCACTGACAATAAATAGACAAGACAAGGACCATCCTGACCATACATGGCCTACAAAGGGCAATGATGACACTACACAGGCAGCCAATGGGCAATCATTACACTATGCAGCCAACACAATGATGGAGTGCCGGGGTCAGGAGTATGGAGCATAGAGCCCCTTACATTGCTGGAAGGAGGAAGAAAACATTCCCCAGCCGGCCATGAAGAATATGTTCCATCATTGGTGTCAGAGGAGGAAAATACTGAGGGGTCTGAGGGAAGTAGAGGAGCTGAGGGGGTCTCTCAGGGGTTACTGAGGATGAGGAACTTTGGGGCCCCTGAGGGTGGTAGTGGAGTTCAAGGGCTTTTAGGGGTTTGAGTAGCTGAAGGAATCTGGTAGGATAGGGTTGGCAGGGAGCAGGGCTCTGAGGAAAGAGAGTTTGTCAGGCTCAGGGGGACACTGAGGTAGGGAGGGGGGCTCTTGGTCTCTGATTGTCCTCTTACCTGCACTTACTTTCCAGACCTCCTTACAGAACTCCTGCCAGGAAAGGAAGACAACCTTCACCTTCTTACCATCTCACTGGTCAAATAATATATTCCAAGATACCAAGTGGAATGAAGGAGGGCGGACCTTCACCACTTGGTGGGCACTTGTTCTTAGAGGAGGTCTGTTGGTGCATTATCAACTAAAAGGTAGTCAGGGGTCAGTGCTGAACATCTTCAGGAGACACTCCAATACCCTTCCCATGACACAGGCTCTGGCAGTGCCGGTGCTGGAATTCAGAGCTCCAGAACCACCACCACTCTGTACAATGTCCTGGATATTACAGTATACTTGGTATCCAAACCTCCCCCCTCCTGTCCTCCCTTCTACCCACACTAGGCTGTCATTGGAGGGAAGAGAACAGGCTCCTCCCCACAGCTCTCTACTCCACCAGCACCATCCTCCTGCTATCCCATCCAAGCTCTTCTTTACTGCAGAGAGTGACAGTGACATCACTCCTGTCAGTCAGCAGGCTGCCACAGATTGGAGCCTTGCAGTCGGAGTTCTGCCAATTATCCTGATTTTCCAGCAACTCCGGCCAAAAGTCATCAAGTTCCCCTTCCTGGACCTCATGATGAGCCGACATTGACCTCACAGCACTGCCTCAGAGCAAACAAGTCATAGGAAGGATCGTATTTATCATTCCTTGTCTGCAGATCTAATACTCATCAAAACCAGTTCAGAGACCAAACAAACCCAACAGAGAAAAGGGGATTTCTGATCTGGCAGGACAAGAGGGTCCCGGGACCTCCAAAATGCATCAAACACTAAACTGTCCAAACAAAATGTCTTCCCATGGGGGGAGTAATTCTTCCATGTCCAGCAACCCTCCTATTCCCCCCTCACATCCACATCCTATTATTGTGTGACCAATACCATCCAAATCATTCTTACTTTCATTTCCCAAAGTTATCCGTCTACAAGGAGACCTGTATAGATCACATGATGGCACCAATGAGGATGGAGGAGGACCGGAGTCACATGACTGAGAAGATACTAAACCTCACCCTGGAGATCATCTACCTGCTGACCGGAGAGGTGAGGAGGATTCTGGGAGGTCACATGACATCACTCTCATCTCTATTAATAAAACACAGACCTGACCGGAGAGGTGAGGAGGATTCTGGGAGGTCACATGACATCACTCTTATCTCTATTAATAAAACACAGACCTGATCGGAGAGGTGAGGAGGATTCTGGGAGGTCACATGACATCACTCTCAACTTTTTTAATAAAAACACAGACCTGACCGGAGAGGTGAGGAGGATTCTGGGAGGTCACATGACATCACTTTGATCTGTATTAAAAAAAAAAACACAGACCTGACCGGAGAGGTGAGGAGGATTCTGGGAGGTCACATGACAGCACTCTTATGTCTATTAATAATACACAGTGTGACGATTGCGATATCAAATCTCTGCCCCTCTCACCAGACTCGTGACCGAAGGACTAGCCAATCTAAAACCGCGATGTCAGGTGCGTAACAATGCCACGCCCAGCTGCACCCTGCACAATGATTTTCCAGCTAACTGGACCACAAATCTATGTACCGGCAGCCTGAGCACGATTAGTTACTGGGTCAGGTTAATTACGCAATTAACCCTTCACATTGCCCCAACCTCCTTTTTGTACAGAGAAAGAGGAAACTCGGCAATATCAGCAATAACACTAGGGTGGTTGAAATAATCATCTGTATACCACTGTCACTGCAGACAGGTTATACAGAGGGTTAAACACACACAGTAGCGCTCTTCAGCGGCAGGAATTCTTAAGTTGCATTAAAGAGCTTTAGAAACAGTTCAACACTTTCAGAAAGTAAGTTTTATTACTAAAAGGTCAAAAGGGTGCAATAAAAAGATTTACAGAAAAAAGATGTAACCAATATATATATAAATATATAGAGAGCAATAACACCGCAAAGAGATAACAGAAGTTTAGGTAGATGAGTACTAGCCAAAAAGCCTTGGGTTATGCAGTTTCAAGTCTCATGAGCCAATTTCTTGGCTCTACTGCTAGTCTCGATGTTAAAAGCAGGAGAATCTTCTCTTCTCTCATCCACACTCCAAGCATAACAGCCTTTTTCTAGCAAATCCCAGCAGGGTGTCTCTTTGGAGTAGTAACCAATGGTCTCCTTTTGGGGAGGGGTGTTGGGTGGAGACCTAAGTTACAAGCAGAATCTCTCCTAGCTTATATTTTGGCTCATAACTTTTCCTAGGTACATTTGCCGGCCTGGTCACTAGTATATTAATACTCAGCCGCATCTGCGGAATGGTTAGAGATGAAACATGAAATATGCACTTAAATGGTTCAAGAGATATACTTTTCTGCTTTTCTCTGTAGGTCAGCTAAGGGGTGTCACATACCAGGAGAATGGTCTCAAACTGAGCCTTCTGAATATAGGCTCCATGTTTAGGTAGTTATGTCCTACGTGAAGATATCAACTTATATGTAAAAGTGAGTTTTTAAAAGTAAGTCTGTGTTTACAACCCCTTGGAAGGTCTTTTGAAGTTCAGTGACCCTTCTCATCACTCAGGCCACATGTCACCCCACAGCACGGGAGGGGGATGAGAGATCTACAAGATGGAGGGGGTAGCCTGCTTTGGGAGTTAGAAATGGTATAACATAGAAAATTTCTTAACAAAACGGAGGGCCGCCTCAGTCTCTGTGTGCACGATTCCTACACACAGACCTGACCGGAGAGGTGAGGAGGATTCTGGGAGGTCACATGACATCACACAGACCACGGATGAGGAGGATTCTGGGAGGTCACATGACATCACACAGACCTGACCTGATTCTGGGAGGAGAGGTGAGGAGGATTCTGGGATTCTAACATGATATTCTTATTGTTCCTCAATACAGAGATTTCCTCTTCTGAAGTCAGGTGATCATATGACCATCACAGTGCCTCCATGTGACTCCCTAAACCCTGAGAGACACAACATGCAGAAGATTCTAGAAGTCACCAAGAAGATGATGGAGCTGCTGACAGGAGAGGTGAGCGGTGCCGGGAATTCTGGGACATTCTCCAGTAACAGACAAGGGATGTGTCTGGATGGTGACTGTATCATTGTGTGTGTCAGGTTCCTATAAGGTGTCAGGGTGTCACTGTCTATTTCTCCATGGAGGAGTGGGAGTATTTAGAAGGACACAAGGATCTCTACAAGGACGTCATGATGGACAATCAGCCGCCCCTCACATCACCGGGTAAGAGGAGACTTTATTGTAAAGGAGAGAGCAGTACGGAGGATCCACCTAGATCCCCCATCATCTGATAAACACATAGAAACAATGGATTCAGTCAGTAGTGTGTGTGTGTTTCCTACAGATGGATCCAGTCATGGGAACCCACCAGAGAGATGTCCCCGTCCTCTGTATTCCCGGGATTCCACACAGGAAGGTCACACCATCCCTCACCATCATCAGGTAGATGAGGAACAATCACTGATAGTATCATTAGGATCTGTACATTATCTGCATTGTTACCATTGATGTCATTTTTATTATATATTCAGAGTGGAAACCTGAGAGAATTTGAGGTTGAAGAAGAAGAGGCGTATGTGAGGGATGATCAGCAGTCTATGGAGGAGGATGGAATAACGGGGACATTTATAGAGGAGGACACTCCTACAGAGATCAGCACAGGTGGGTCATGAACACTAAATCCATTCCTCCACCCATACTGCTCACTGATTGGTCCAGAGTAGGGCGGGGACTGGGTGATATCAGCCTGTAATCCCCTGGTCACTTTCCTGAGCTGTGTTCCCCGTCCTGTATTCCTGGATTTCTCTCGGATAATCTTCCTTCTCTGTGCTGCAGACACAATTTATGTATCTAGACTGGATTTATGGAGGTTCTGGGGTTCAGCTGGCAGCAAAATGTTCATATTTTCATCATAGACGTTACTAGACCTAGGCACCTGGGGTGTGTGCTATTGATCTTCTGCTCCATGCCCGGTCTAGTAAGATCTCTGACAGAACATTTCTCCCAGGGTTCCTTGCTCTGTGGTCTGCTGGCTGTGCCGGGTGGAGGGATATGTCTGTAGTGTCTCAGACCCAAGTCACTGAGTGCAGTCTCAGGAGATGGGAGGCAGCGGTGTGGGATCTCTGCAACTTGTCTACAGTAGACATTTAAAGTGGTTGTAATCCCTCCATATACTCAGTGCAGTGACTGGCCTCAGGTGATACACAGAGATAAAACAAATCCTACATATGTTGCACCTTTTTATCTGCAGCAATCTCTTCTCTACAACTGTTCAAAGCCCAGAATGTATACAGCTTGTCTGAGAAGTCAGAAAAAAAGAGACAGAGAGATAAAGTCACATTCTGCAGAGTTCAGTGAGGGTGAGCTCTAAAGGTGATTGGAGGGAAGGTACACACAGCACACAGGAACAGAGCTGAGGCTGTCAATCACAGGCTGTGTGCTGGAGCTTCTCCCCTTTCACATTTTTTTTCTCTTGGTGTCAGGAAGACTTGTCAGAAGTGATTCATGCTGATCGCAGAGGAAGGAGATAGCAGACAGAAATGGCTCTTATTGCTCTGGAGTGAGACAAGTACACACTGTAGAGGGATATGTTTGTTCATATTCCATGTCTGAGGGTTACAACCCCTGTAAGTGATCTCTGATTACTAAACACCAATTTGATGTGATCCTTACACTATTTATTAGTGTGGCCCCCTTGTCCTGAATAGAGGTACTATGTGGGTTTAGTTTGTGGCTGGGCTGTACTTGGCTCAGGCTGATTGTATAGTTCTTCACTTGGTTTCTCCCTAAGTTTAGGTTGTCTTGTGATGTCTCACTGTGGCCAGTAGATGTCACTGCTATCACTGGACATAGGTATGAGGTGGCGGCTGCATTCCTTTTCTTTGGCTTTTTTCCCTGTTTTCTCCTGGTGATCTGGCAGTAACACACCTTCTGTATTAGAGCGCCCCCGCTGTGGAGACAGCAGCATGGTCAGTCTGGGGGGAGGAGGGGGAGTGTTAGATGTATTAGCAGATATAAAAACAGTAACTAATTGAAGCCAAACTCCAGCTCACACTTCATAATCAGTTACATCAAACAGGTTTTTTCTTTTGGGATAAAAGTTTTACATGAATAAATAAAAGCTGCTCATTGTAAGCCCCCTGTCAGTGGTAAATGGTCTGCCTCATCCCTGGAACTGATACATTCTGCTGCAGAGTTTTATAAAACAGATTTACTGGCTAGATCACCAGATGAATATAGAAGAAAACTAATACTGTTTAGTCCTAACTTTTGTATCCCGTATGATAAGTTGTACATTACATACAGTGAAGGAAATGTGTATTTGCTCCCCGGCTGATGGTGAATGTTCGCCCCTCACACAGAAATGATCGTCTAACAATGGAATGTTCGCCCCTCACACAGAAATGATCGGTCTAACAATGGAATGTTCGCCCCTCACACAGAAATGATCGGTCTAACAATGGAATGTTCGCCCCTCACACAGAAATGATCGGTCTAACAATGGAATGTTCGGTGTAACACTGAGAGACAGAATACAACAACAAATTCAGCAGAAATGCGTCTAACAAATGATGACTGATCTGCATGTTCATGAGGGAAAGAAGGATTTGATCCCCTATCATTCAGCAGGATTTCTGGCTCCCAGGTGTCTTTCATACAGGTAACAAGCTGAGATTAGAAGCAGTCTCTTAAAGGGAGTGCTGCTAATCTCATTGTGTTACCTGTATAAAAAGACACCTGTCCACAGGAGCCATCAAACCATCAGATTCCAAACTCTCCACCATGGCAAAGACCAAAGAGCTGTCCAAGGATGTCAGGGACAAGATGGTAGACCTACACAAGGCTGGACTGGGCTACCAAACTATGGCCAAGCAGCTTGGTGAGAAGGTGACAACAGTTGGTGCAATCATTCACAAATGGAAGAAACACAAAACAAGTGTCAGTCTCCCTAGGTCTGGTGCACCATGCAAGATCTCACCTCGTGGAGTGTCAATGATCATGAGAACAGTGAGGAATCATCCCAGAACTACACGTGAGGATCTTGTCAATGATCTCCAGGCAGCTGGGACCACAGTCACCAAGAAAAACAATTGGTAACACACTACGCCGACAAGGACTGAAATCCTGCAGTGCCCGCAAGGTCCCTCTGCTCAAGAAAGCCCATGTCCAGGCCCGTCTGAAGTCCTGCCACTGAACATCTGAATGATGCAGAGGAGGACTGGTGGGAAGTGTTGTGGTCAGAGGAGACCAAAATCCAGCTCTTTGGCATCAACTTACAAACGCGCCGTGTTTGGAGGAGGAGGAATGCTGCCTATGACCCCCAAGAACACCATCCCAACTGTGAAACATGGTGGTGGAAACATTCTGCTTTGGGGGGTGTTTTTCTGCTAAGGGGACAGACAACTGCACCGTATCAAAGGGGACGATGGACGGGGCAATGTACCATCAAATCTTGGTGAGAACCTTCTTCCCTCAGCCAGGGCATTGAAAATGGGTGGTGGCATGGGTGTTCCAGCATGACAATTACCCAAAACACACGGCCAAGGCAACAAAGGAGCGGCTCAAGAATGAAGCACATTAAGGTCCTGGAGTGGCCTAGTCCAGTATCCACACCTTCATCCAATTGAAAATCTGTAGTGAGCGAAGGCTGAAAGTTTTGAGTTGCCAAACGTCAGCCACCATACCTTAATGATTGAGAGAGGATCTGCCAAGAGGAGTGGGCCGGGCCAAAGTACCCATTCTGAGATGTGGTGCATACGCGTTGGGGTGCCCAGTTAGACTGGCACATGGGAGTAACGTCGAGATGTAGCCATTGCAGGTGATTGCGCGTTGGCAACAAGCGGATTTGCCACCTAAGTGGCGCACTAAGTTCATGGTTTTGTGGGATCACAATTGTATTAGCATGGGTTGTCCCCTCATGCACAACATGATAGATAGGGTATCATTTGTTAGAACGCTCATTTCGGGATGCAGGAGGATTTGTTATTGTATTGAACCTATCAGTGATCTAGGCAGAGAGTACATCGCTGATATGTTTAGAGCCGATCATTTCTAGTGTAGGTTACGTTCATAGCACAACGACAGCAGGGGAGGGTGCGGAGTACTCATTTCCTGCACTGTAGGCATTTAAGCTTAGGTACATCACCGCCAGGTTATCCCTCCCAGCTGGACATTTTACAATCGGATGATTGGCGGAGAGTCTGGAGCACAGACAGTTACTCGATTTCGAGTTATAATAATGTGATGCAATACATCAGGTCAGGAAGTACTCTTGGACCTCTGTAACAGAAAGTGATAATGAGGGATGAGTCGCACAGGGATTACCCCAAGTTTGGTGGTAGTCTGGATCAAGTCAGTCTTCCATCTTGGTTGTTTCTCCCCCCATCCTCACTCACTCTGACCTGCTGGCAGGGGCTAACAATCCCCCGCTGGGTCATGACTAAAAGTGTGGACTTAACTAAGGAACTTGCAGTACTCTCTTTTGCTGTTTGGAAGATGGTGATGATAGATAGAGGTGGTGCTTGTACCCTCGTGCCAATAATGTTCCACAAGATCACTGTCCCCCTAGAAACAAGACAGTTCGCACAGAGAGTTTCCTCATGTTCTCTGGGCAAGCAGTTCCTTATGAATAAAGAGATTGGAGTACCTGGTAGATAGATCAGAGGGAGGAAGCCATTTCCTAGTTCCCTTTGGGTGAAGGGGTTGTCAGAGAGTCCTCGAGGACCAAGCTGCTGATGTGCTTGAGGGCGGACGTATGTTTTTTTAGGGGGGAATACCTAATCAGCTCTCATGTCTAGTAAGACCTACTTTGTCTTTGTATTTTAGTCCATTGGCCGGGAGCATGATTTAAAAACCTCCGAGATTGACATCTCAGACTTAGTAATCTCGCAGGGGACGGGTGGGGTGGATAAGTTGAGAATTCGATGAGGGACATCACTCAGATCTATTAGGTCCAGTTTTTGTTAGCAAATGAGGTGAGGAAGTATCCCTCCAAGCAGTCCAGGTGTAGGGGGCACCGTACAGACCCAGTGTAGATGACCATATGGAATTCCTCGTATCCTGCAGGGACCCACGAGACTGTGTAGTGACCGGGCCAGCCTTACCAACAGCTGAAGAGGTCTCCGTACTGAGGTGCGGAAAGCTGTTTTCAGATAAGTCCCTAAAATCTTTTACAGTGGACATAAGAAATTGTTGCCACACTGGGACAAGCCTCAAAATAAAAAATTCCTGTCCCCCCTCTAGTTACTCCTTACTCCTGTACTGAGTGCGGTGAGAAGCGGTTACGTCTTGTTCGTTCACTGTTTACATACAATCTTAATGTGCATAAAAAGATCTCACATCGCAGGGGAGAAGTTCGTATTCCTGCACCTGAAGTGTGGGAAATGTTTTTACGCATCGGATAAGTCCAATATCCTTTACAAACACCAGGAGATCGCCACACAGAGGGAATGAATTCCGTATTGCTGTCCTGAGTGTGTGGAAATGTTTTTCACAAGAATTCCAGGTCTTTACACACATCAAGAGATCACATCACACAGGTGAGAAGCCGTATTCCTGTTCTGAGTGCGGGAAATGTTTTTCATAAAGTCCTATATCTTACACACATCCAGAAGATCACACACACGGGGATCCCCCCCCCCCGCCTTCCACACGGGAGAGCCGTATTTCTGTCCTGAGTGCGGGAAGATTGTTTTTTCACTGAAAAAGTCCATCATCTTACAGACATCAGAGATTTCACACGGGGGAAAAGCCGTATTCCTGTCCTGAGTGTGGTAAATGTTTTCAGAGAAGTCCAATCTTTACACACATTCAGAGATCTCACACAGGGAGAAGCCATATTCCTGTCCGAGTGCGGGAAGAATATTTTTCAACAAAGACCCATCTGTGCACACATCAGAGATCTCACACACGGCGGAGAAGCCGTATTCCTCGTTCATGAGTGTGGAAATGTTTTTTTACTGAAGTCCAGTCTTACAGACATTCAGAGATCTCACACGGGGAGAAGCCGTATTCCTGTCCTGAGTGCGGGAAATGAGTTTTTCAGTAAAGTCCAGTATTTTACACACATCAGAGATCTCACACAGGGGAGGAAAGGCATATTCCTCGTCCTGAGTGCGGAAGTGTTTTACAAGTAAGTCCAATCTTTACACATCCACCAAGAGATCTCTCACACGGGGAGAAGCCGTATCCTGTCCTGAGTGCGCGGAAAATTGTTTTTCACTGGAAGTCCAATCTTTACAGACATCAGACAGATCTCACACGGGGGAGAAGCCATATATTCCTGTCTCCTGAGTGTGGGAAATGTTTTTCAGACGAATCCCATCTATACACAAAACATCAGAGATCTCACACAGGGAGAAGCCAGTATTCCCTGTCCAATGAGTGCAGAAAATGTTTTCAGACAAGTCCCATCTATACACACAATCAGAGCTCTCCACACAGGTGAGTAGGCATATTCCTGTCCTGAGAGCGGGAAAATGTTTTACAAGGAAGTCTAATCTTTACAAAACATCCAGAGGTCCTCACACGGGGGAGAAATAAACTTTCTCCCTGTCCTGAGTGAGGGAAAATGTTCCTCAACACTGAAGTCGCTGTCTTCCTGTACACATCAGGGGTCCCACACAACCCTGGAGGTGATATTAGTGCCTTGAGTGCGGGAAATGTCTTCTAGATATGAATGTTGCTTGGACAGCCCAGCTCTCATGTGGGGAAGAAGCACACCCTGATATACACCTCTCAGATATACTCCATGGTATGATCTTCATCATGGAAGAAAACAGTTGATATAGGAGAATGAGAGGCCACCCAAACGACATGGATGAAGTGCAGTAAATGGTCGGGGTGCAGAGTGGTCAGTAGATCCTAGAAATGAAGGACAAAACAACTACCAGAAGACAACTTTCAGCCCTTCTTGGGTGTCGGAGTTGCGTTCCTGATTAATGAATTGATATAGCGGTTATCAGAGCTAGAAGCGGGAGAGCCCAGATCTCTCGTTATCGGGGAACTTTACTCACAGACAACAAGATCTTCTGAGTTGATGAGCCCTTCATTTCAAGGCTCTACAGAACAGTGGTGACCCCGAAGCGTCTCTCTGTCTTCAGTCCATTATTCTTCTGCCCATCCCCCAACAGTAAGGAAGGAGTAACTCCGCCCCTAACCTAGGGGGGAACTTTTTTCCTCTCATTGACATTTCCCTGTGGCTTGCGTTGTGTTATCTAGGGTTTGGGTGGTTGAGAGGAGTGCGGCACGAGAGGAACACAGCTTTGTTGTTCTTAATGTCTACATATGGGGTCTGGGCTAGAGGGGATCCACCGGAAAATATTTCTACTCTTTGATTTTGTGCAAATCGTTTCTGTTTCACACTTTGAAGGGCGATATTATGTGTGGTTTGTAAAAGGGATTGGCCCAATAGATACCACCCCACTTAGAGAATAGATGAACTAATATGACCAGCATTCATTCAGCCATGTCACATGTTGGGATCTTTTCTACAATACTTTGTTATAATAATGGAACACGCTGTGTATTGTATTGTATTGTACACCAATAATAATGACTCCGCCCCCACATTCCTCCACAAGGGAACTTCCTGACCAATCGGATTCCTTCCTTTGTTATTTCCTGATTTTTTATGACTGCAATCTTGTTAAAAGTGAAATTATAATAAAAATGTATTGAACAGAAAAAAATGGTGTGTGTGTGCAATGATGACAAAGCTGTTGTATCCAGAAACGGCTGGTCGGTGACACTTCCATATACAGCCCAATGAAGTGACAAGGAAGCCCTAGAACCCTTTGGAGGAAACCCTGGCTGAGAAAGGCTGGACTAGGCAGTCACATATCTCTGCCCCCCTTGCAGGGTTCCCAACCCTCCAGGACTTTTATTACTGACACAACATGAACATTTACTGACGGAGGACATGTTTTACTGACATCCTGAAAAATGACAGAACTCCTGTTAGGATGTCAGACGATGGATATTGAATCCATATAACAGGACATGTGATCACTGACAATCCCCAGAACAAGCCATCTGCCTGGTTTACACCTAATAATTCAATCCATGGTGACCACAAATCAGCCCAACGCAGACACATGAAAACCAAGTTCTGCTCGGCATGTCATGGAGAGTAATGGGCACGATCAGATGGGAGGGGCTTAGAAGAGGATGATGTCACAGACCCACCCCCTGATCACCTACCTCTAAATGAAGAAAGCAGCTGATTGGGTGAGTACACATTGCTGTGACCTCCATGCTTAGCTTCACAGTGCGGCAATTTTACCTTCACATGCCGAGTCTCACAGGTGGCACCGCCTGTCATACCATTGTGCTGAAATGTCATTGCAGCAACTCAGAATGGTCCTCAGTAGTCTGTATGGCCCCCATGTGCTTGTATTCATGCCTGACAACGGGGGAGGGTCCTAATAAGATATCACCAGCAAGACTCCCATCATCCATCCACTACACATCTGCATCAGAGGCTGGTCAGGAGCTCGGAGGAAAGGGATTCATCCCCGAAACGCGCGTCAGTCATTTGACTGCACTGACACTTGGAACACCTTGCTTGCCGTTGTGGCCATCGTCATTATGCAAATGATTTTTAGATACATGCTTCACCTGTGAGTCTGGTTTTATTTTTCACTCCTTCCAATAAACCTTGGATAATGCACAAGGTGTGTGCGCACCTGTTTATTCTCTATCTAGTGGCTGATCTCCCCGTCTGAGGAGGGCTGCACCCCTGAAGCATTTCCTTTGGTTGTCGCTGTCCTGGTTCCCTTGGCTTCCCTTTTGGCTGTGCATATCCTGAGGCGCTGGAGACTACATACGATATCCGGTTTGGTTGCAACCTGGTGGCGTCGGATGGACCAAAAACATGATATCCTAGAGGTGTTCTGTTGGATTTAGGTCAGGTAAGTGAAAGGATTGATTTTCTTATCCCCTCAGAGACCCCCGGTCTGTGGAGAGATTCCTGGTTTATCAGCAGAATTCTGGGAACACCCCTTGAACACGGAAATAATGGCAGCTTATGTTCAGAGATGTTCAAAGTTTATTAGACATTACTAAGATTATATAGGATACAGAAATAATAAGGGGGGGGGGAGCGAGTTCTAAGAACTGTAATTGTAAGTTTCCATCATGAGCTGACTACATGAAACATGACATATACATTTCTTGGTATAAACTGTTTTTGCTAGCTTTCTGAGAAATAGCCGGGCAAGGAAAACTTCAGGGTCATGTTATCTTTTGTTGATACATCCTTCACCAAACTAAAACAGTTCCATTAAACTTCTAATATATCTGCAAAAACCTAACATAATACTTAAAATGGCGTACATCAACACAATGGAGGTTCTCTAGATCCTTTCAATCCCCTCTTAGATCATGAACATGATCTCAATTCTTTACCTCATTCATCAGATAACCTTCATTTGTATTTTGCGGCTTGGTAGCTCTAGCAATGCAATATAATAAGCATTTAAAACATAGATATAAAAATAAAACAAAAAACAATATCATGACTATGATTACAGCGATACCTTTCATCCATGAAAAGACGGAACCAATCCTGATCCTAGCCAATCAAAAGGAGTCCATCCATCTTTTTCCTATAGCTCTAGCTTCTTCCATCAAACCATCTACCTGTTCCCTGTGTTGCTTTATTATTTCATAATAATCTGGAACAGTCATTGTGGTATTATATATCCAAGTACAACATTCAGAATCCTCTGTCATCTCACACAGACCTGTCAGAGCAGCACTCATGCTTTCAATAGGTAATTCTTGCATCTCCAGCTGTTCTCTAATAGCTCTGGTCTCAGTATTTAGCAACCCCATGTCCTTAGAGTTCCTCTCCAGTATATCATCAATAATGTTTGTGTCATTATTTATTTTGTCCATGAGTGTTATTCCCCATCCCGTGTAGGTAGGGAACCATGACCAAACCTTATCGCCTGTAGAGAATAGATCTACCTTTTCTTGTTTGGTTTCCCTTCTCTGTCTCAGAGTTAGTTGGTGTTTTGGGTATGTACTGGCTTTTACCTGGTGTTCCTTCTGGTCTATAAGCTGCCATGATTGGCACTAATTGGGCTACATAGCACCAGCCCTGGACATTACTCGGTATCCAAGGGTAACAGATCTTACCACAACAGATATAGGTATTGTTTTCCCAAGGAGATCGGCAATTTTTGTATTGCAGAGCGAAATTCAGGGTGACAACAAGTGTGAAATAAAAAAGAAGTTTTCCAAACCTAGTTTTCCCCACATTGTCTTGTATCCCTTCTAAACTTTCATTCAGGGCTCTACCATTTACTTGCCAGAGACAATAACAGAGCCAATTTACTTACCACTAGGCAAAAGATCCTGACTGAGAAATTTTGCTCTTTCATCACCAACTTTTCCACCCAATATAGGGACATAGCCAAGATCATTAAGAGAAACTGGTCTATTCTCAAGAATGACCCCATTATAGGGAAACACTTACCCGAAATCCCCGATATTACTTACCGCAAGGCACCTCCTCTGAGAAAACAGGCTGGCTCCAAATATAGTCAACCCACCTAAGCAGCCATCTTTCTTTTTTGATCGGAAAGGGTTTTTCCCTTGTAATAGGTGCATGTTATGTACTCACAACGGTATTCATAAAAACCCAATCAAGACTTTCCATTCCAACACCACCGGGAGAACATATGACATTCAATCTACTATAACCTGCAACAGCACGCATGTTGTATACCTCTTAGAATGCGCATGCGACAAACAATATGTCGGTAGAACGACTAGAAGACTTCGTGATAGATTACGGGAGCACTTAAAAAATATAAAAAAGGGATTCAGAGAACACTCACTCTCCATGCATTTCCGCCAAACGCATAACAATAATCCACACTCCCTGAAATTCATAGGAATTGACATGATTCAAAGACATTGGAGAGGAACACACAAACGTAGGGCAGTCTCAAAGA